CCCAGTATTTGTGCTAGATATGCTCGTCACTGCCAAGGACTACCGAACCATTCTGGAGAACACCCAATTGTTCAAATATTGTCTCCTGAAGGCGGTGCCGTGTATCAGGATAATAAAACATTGATTCACACAGCCAGGTTGGTGACAGAGTGGTTTGATGAGCATGAAAGTGAAGTTGAACATCACCCACGACCTGCTCAGTAACCAGATATTATTGAGACACTTTTAGATGTTTTGGAGGAGCGAATCAGGAAATGTTTCCCTTTACCAGCATCATAGTGATATGGCCAATTTTCTGCAAGAAGTTTAGCTGAATATCCCATGGGCCACTGTGCAGGACTTGTATCTGTCAAATATACCAAGACAACTTGATGTTGTACTGGTTGCAAAGAGGAGGTACTATACCATACTTATGAATTACTGTGGTTTAAAAGCAGGCATTTCAGTTTCATTGTCCAACCTTTGTATATATATATATATATATATATTAGAATTATTAGCCCCCCTGAATTATTAGGCCCTGTTTATTTTCGTCCCCCAATTTCTGTTTAACTGAGAGAAGATTTTTTTATCTTATTTTATCTTGTTTTTTATCTTTGCCATGATGACAGTAAATAGTATTTGACTAGATATTTTTCAAGATACTACTATACAGTTTAAAGTTCTATACAATTAAAGGCTCAACTAGGTTAATTAGGTTAACTAGGTAAGTTAGGGGAATTAGGCAAGTTATTGTATATTGTATATTATTATTGTATGTTACTGTTATGTATGAATTAGTCTAACTGGAATTGTTTGTATATTTTTGTTAAAATTGTAAAATAAAATCAATCGATCAATCAATCAATCAATCAATCAATCAATCAATCAATCAATCAATCAATCAATCAATAAGGGTTTGTCCTGTGAAGACTATCGAAAAAAAAATAATTTAAAGGGGCTAATAATTTTGACCTAAAAAAAATAAAAACTGCTTTTTTTCTAGCTGAAATAAAACAAATACAACTTGTTGTCTCTGATTAAATATAAAACAATAAAAATAAATAAAAAGGGGTGGGGGGGGGTCTAATAATTCTGACTTCAACTGTATATATATATATATATATATATATATATATATATATATATATATATATATGTTCACTCTCACACTTCCCTGAATGTATACATTATATTGTCATGAACTTCTCTTTTTTGACTTTAGCATATGCATTTGTCCTAATAAATGATACATGTTCTTAAGTTAAACAATATAATTATTCTGCAAAATATATGTTACTGTTGAATTAATGCACAATATTAAAGCAGGTACATTATAAGTAACTAATAAAATGACCTTAACTAATGATGTAATTCCTTAATTGACTTTTCATCTGAAAAGTTCATTACAGTAACTAGTTAGTTTGAAACAGGCATGGCTGAAACTAAACTTGAAAACTAGAGAAAATTTGAAAACGGTAATCAAACAAAGACAAATTTTTAATTCAAACAGAACTCCAATGAACTCCTCGTGAACTCTGCGCAAAAGTAAAGTTTGAAAGGAAGTGATAAAAGAAAGAAACCAGAGAGAAGAAGATGTCAAAGATGGAGTGGGGACTCCGTGAGCCTCTTCAGCGCTGAAATAAAGTCCAGTTTGTGCGGAAAGCGGGAACAGCCTATTCTTGGGGTGTCAGTGTGACATGAAGACGAGGCAGTGTGTTCTTGTAGGAAGATGAGCCCAAGAGTCACGATGAACCCTCGTCTGACAGAGGGAACAGCCTGCTCCTCTTTCATTTTCACTCAAGCTTTTATCTTCTCCTTTCACATTCTGAAAAGCATGTGCAAGATTTCTCGAAATTACATCCTGCCCCCTTTTTTTCTCAATCCAATTTCCAATCTATCTCCTTTACGCTTTATCCCATCTCTCTCTTTTCCAGTCAGAAGATCAGAGTGACCCATCCAAGAGCACTTCATCCTCTCCAAAAACTGCCCCATTATCACCCCATCAGAAAAATAGCCACTCAAAAAAAAGCTGTTCCCTATGAAGCCTATGACCATTAATCATGGTGTGAAACCAGTGTCACACCCTAGACATTGCTTTCAGCATCTACACACACACAGCTTTCTGCATCACCTTGGTTGAACTAAAAGTCCATTTGGAGCATATAGTGCAGACAGATCGAGTCAGTCTGACACATATAAGCGTCTGAGAAAGCACTGAGAAGGCACTTATGATATATATTTCCAGTGGAATGCCGCGTCACCTCATTTGACCTGCCGGCAGAAATGGACTGAGCTAAAAAATAATAAAAAAATCTAGCGCTGGGTGTATAGAAACATAAATATATGGGCACAGAAGGAGTTTAACAGATGGCTTGACCTCATTTAGGCTCTACATATATGGCCCTCATGGGAAACATACTCAGGATATGAACTGCTTGATTTAAAAACAGACAGCAGGAACAGTAAAAGACACAGTTTTTTTTTAATAGGTTACATTTATTACCCTACCGCAATAAAATGGAAAATCAATATAATAAATCAAGCATATTTATATAAAAAAAAGAAAGTTACAAACGAAATGTTTCTTTTCTTATTATTTCAACAGTTTAATGTGTTTAAAATGAAACAAAGTGCATTTATTTGTTCACAATATGCACTGTAAGTCCTGCATTTAGACTTGTCCTTATGATAACGACTTTTTTTTTTTTTCTTTTTTTTTACACATACCGCCCGGCCTGTCATCTGGGCCTGTCACCCTCATACACTCATACACTATGGACAATTTAGCCTACCCAATTCACCTGCAGCATGTCTTTGGACTGTGGGGGAAACCGGAGCACCCGGAGGAAACCCACACGAACGCAGGGAGAACATGTGTTCAACTGAGCAAAAGTTCGAACCAGCGACTCAGCGACTTTCTTGCTGTGAGGCGACAGCACTGTCTAGTGCGCCACTGCTTCGCGATGGCAAAGCTAAATTTTCAGCTTCATTGATTTGAGCACATGTTCATCAGAAATCTTTCTTATATTCTGCTTAACGAGCATTTATTAATATTTATGTAATGTAAATATTAGCATATAAAACAGTAGTGCTACTTAATTTTTGGGGGGGATTAGTTGATGAATCGAGTGTTTAGTCTTCAGAATAGGTCATATTTCTTATACGTAAAATTGAATTAAATTTGTAAGTTAATTAAAATCAAGTTTAGCCGCAAGCAACAATTTATGGGTCAAGCAGTCCAGATGCAGAATGACAGCAAGCAGCAGACCAATTGGATATACAGACAAACAAACAGTAAAGCGTCACGCCTTCCAGGTGGATGCTTTAAACTCTTGGTGGATGAGGAGATTCCCCCCAATGTGTAAAGCGCTTTGAGTGTCCGGAAAAGCGCTATATAAATGTAAGGAATTATTGATTATTATTAAATATATTAGGAGATGATTTTAAGAAAAATAGTCGAAAACTCATATTTTGTTAATTATAATGTGTAAATGTATTCCATAATAGTTAATTATAACTGCTAGGTGGTGTTCTTACTTGCTCAGTGAAAAGTACAATTATGCACATAAAGTTTAGTGTTCATATGTTTATAATAATTGGTTTATATGTTATCGCTATGACCCAAGGGCTTGAGACCAGTTTAATTTCAATAAGACCACACAATCAAAATTAGGAATTGTAGAAAGGTCATACAAATTATCAATGATTGGTTTATATCTCTTAATCAATAGGTGGTGCTGTTACTTAAAAATTGAACAAATGGTCTAGGAGGAGTTCGGAATAAAAACTATTTAAATGGCGGAGAGAAGGTTTGGCAGATTACATCATGGCTCATCAGTGTTCTCCACAAGATCCAAGGAATCTATCAAGATCATCCAATGACGATAAGGAGAATGTAACTAAAGTTATTAGCATTGTATACAATTCCTTTAGCCACAAGGGAGCACTGCCCGAAAACTAAGAAGAAAAAGAAGAAGAAAAAGAAAAAAAGGTGAGGTAAAGGAAGGTGAAGAAGAAGAGGAAGGAGGAGAAGGAAGAAGAAGGAGGAATAAGAAGGGAGGAGGAACAAAGACGAAAGAAGAAGGTAGGAAGAGGGAAGAAGAAGTTGAAGGAAGAAGAAGAAGAAAAAGAAGGAAGAAGAAGAAGAAAAGGGAGAAGAAGGAAGTAGTTAAAGAAGAAGGAAGAAAAATAAGGAAAAAGAAGAATAAGAAGGAAGACAGTGACAGAAAAAGGAATTAGAAAAAGAATAAGGAAGAATAAAAAAGGAAGAAAAAAGGAAGAAGGACGATGAAAAAGTAGAAGAAGAAGCAGGGAGAAGAAGAAGAAGGGATAAGAAAATGAAGAAGCTGAAGAAGAAGAGGAAGGAGAAGAATAAGGAAGAAAAATAAGGAAGACGAAAGGAGGAAGAAAGAAGTAAGAAGGTAGGACGAGGGAAGAAGAAGTTGATGGAGGAAGAAGATAAAAAGAAGAATAAGAAGGAAGAAAATTACAGAAAATGGAGTTAGAAGAAAAAGAAAGAAAAGGAAGAAAAGGGAGAAGGAAGAAGAAGAAGAAGAAGGAATTAAAAGGAAGAATAAGAAGGAAGAAGCAGTTAATTAAAGGAAGGAAGGAAGAGAGGAAGAAATGAGGAGAGGGAAATAGTAGGAAGTATAAGAAAGAAGAAGTAAAAAGGAAGAAGAAGGTAGGCAGAGGGAAGAAGTTGAAGGAAGAAGAAGAAATCAAAATGAATGATTAAGAAGAAAGAAGGAATAAGTCTAAGAACATTAAGGAGGAAAAAGAAGGAGGACGAAGAGAGAAGAAGGAATTAGGAGTAAGAAGAAGGAAGAAGAAGGCGAACAGATATAATAGATGCCTTAGCTTTGCTTGGCCCTAAATATGATGCCATCTCGTGAATCAATTTTGGCCTCTTGTTTTGCAATAGTCCATACTCAAAAGAAGATGGGCTGTATGTACTGCTGATAACAGAGAGTGACTTACAATCACTGCAGCACTTCTTGTAGGGTTTAGTATCATCTCACCTGCTCAGGAAGCTAGAGAAAGACAGTCGTACTGGGTATCCATAGCGGATCATCCGGACCATCTCCAGAACCCCCACATATTGGAGCTGCGAGGACACATGGAAGCTGTCGAACACATCCGGCTTACTGGCATTGTTGGGTCTGACACACTGGATGAAGTGGGGTGTGCAGGACTGCAGTTTACTGGTGATCTCACACAGAGAGTTCTGGAAGGAGGAAGAAAAGCGGCAGAAAAAGGCAAGTGTGAGGTATTGTTTACATAATGTTACATACTGATACATCAGTTTGTCTCAATGACTGCATTTGCTTCCATTTATTTAGCATCGTGAGTCATGGTGAATCCTCCTCTCACCATCTGTCACTAACAGAATAAGCTTCATAGTTGAAAATATTGTGTGTTATTTGAGGAGAAATTCGTTTTTTTTTTATCCACACTTTATTTTAAGGTACAAGTAGTCGCTATTACTTTTACTATTTATTACTTATTACTACTTATTACTATTAACAAATCATTAACTGTGACTTTTGCCTCAAACTTCAAATTTGCTACTTATAATAGATATTAATAAAGTAATTAGGTTTAGTTACTGTTTAGGATTAGGGATGAAGAATAAGATCATCAAAAAATAATAAACAGCCAGTATCTTAATAAGGCAGGCAATAAACTACACTACCTATCAACCCCAGTTGTATGGGCAACACATAATAACTTGACTTTTTGTTGATTATTTGGAAAAGTGGCAGAAGGTCTATTTTTCTGAAGAATCATCTGTTGAACTGCATCCAATCATCACAAATACTGCAGAAGATTTATTGGAACACACATGGAAACAATATTCTCACTGATATCAGTCAAGTTCGGTGAAAGAAAATTCATGGTTTGGGGTTACATTCAGTATGGGCCGTGCAAGCAATCTGCAGAGTGGATGGCTGCATCAAAAGCTTGAGGTATCAAGACATTTGTGCTGCTTGTTCCATTACAAACTATAGTAGAGGGCAAATTCTTCAGCAGGATAGCGCTCCTCATACTTCAGCCTCCACATCATTCCTGAAAGCAAAGAATACTATGGATGCAGTTGTCCAAGCTCATGGGAGTCATGAACAATATTAATTCTTTTTCCACTGCACCATGACTTTATCTACTTTTCTGTACAGTATTTCTGTTAAGTGACAGTAATTTTGTCTAAGCAAAGTCAGACCTTACTGTCATAATTAAATAGTTAAAAAACAAGGCATGATCATATATATATATATATATATATAGAGGCAAAGGCCTCTAGATTACGCTTATTTATATATATATATATATATATATATATATATATATATATATATATATATATATATATATATATATAAGACACTCCTGATACCAAATGATTTACTAGAAGTCAAGTTATTACTTCTTATTCCTAAAACTTGAATAGGTGACAAGAATTTTGTCAGGTTAATCTTGTGAATTGGTACTTGAACTATAATCCGTTAATAAATTTTAGTACATCAAGTTAACCTGAAAAATAAGAAAATTATAAATAGTGCCTTGGCAAGCTGAAATTAGTGTTTTAAGTGGGGTTTTCAAATAACAAAACTCAAGTATTTTTGATAATTTTCACAAACAATGTTATAGCCCTTACACTATTTTGCTGTATGAACATTGAACCATACAGTATATGAAAATAAATAATATGATAACATAATACATAACAGGAACAAAACAAACAACAACAAAACCTTTTTATTTTGTTTTGTTCAGTCTTTAATAATACTAAAACACAAGTTTCAAAAAAAGAGGGATTTCTGTGAAAGACTGTGTCTGTGTTCAATTCAAAACCGAGGTCAAAACATAGATTGAAAAAACAGCCAATCAGAACTCTCAAATCTTGTACAGCCACAAGTGTTGGTTCGAAAAGTCAGTGCTAATGTTTTGATTTATGAATGCTTGATGCCTATATTTGCATAAATATGTAAACAATGCTATCAGTCAATACATAACAGTCTATCAATCAGTCAATACATAACAGTGCCCCCCTACCGCATAATAACAAGAGAACTATGAATACTTGCATCATAAAAGTTGAACTATCCTGTTCATAGCAAGAAAGAGTTGTTAAACTTGCTCTATAATACATTTGAACTATTCAGATTAAGGAATTCCCATTAGGTCCGTTGTACAATTACGTTACTTAACAATTTGACATTGTAAAGGAGTCATGAACTGAGAAGGCAGAATTCCCTTGATCTTAAAAAAAAAATAAAAAAAATAAAAAAACAGAAAAAAATATTCTGTCATTTTGAGAGCTCAAACCTTTGTTAGTCTAAAAACAGCCTATATTGAAGCCAGTCTGCAAAAACATCAGCTTGTGGAATGAACACCACCTCCACAGAGGAAGTTAAACACCTGCTTCGACACCACTTCCCTGTTTAGCCATGCTCACCAATTCATACCATAGGTAAACAACAAGGCAAACCCAGTCTACATAGAAACCAAAAAAATCAAGATGACTGACAGGACAACATACAAAAAACGTGTGTACAGCTAAGTCTTTGCATTGCCTTCCTTCTATTATAAACATTAGCAAGAAGTAGATCGATATTATTTTAATGAAGTTCCAGGCCACTTCAGGTAAAAAAAGGTTCTTTTTTAAACGTTAGTATCAGTATTGTACATTTTTAGGATATCTATAAGCTAGTGTGCTCCAAAACAGTGACGGAATTTATGTTTAGAAGATGTAAAACTGAAGCAACCATTTAAGTCTTGTAGTTTGTCATTTTCGCCTAAATGGATCAACGGTTTTATTCACATCACCTCATACTTCAGTTTCTCTTCAAATAATGACCAATCAAATGCTCTCTAGTATCTGACATGCTCCGCCTCTTTCAAGACGCTTCACATTTGATGCACTTGAGCTCAAGCCCTCTCACTGGCACAGTGGTGATAAAGCACAACGCTATTGGCCATTCTATAAAAGGGGAGGAGCTACATTATGCCCCACCCTATTTTTCTTGTTTGATTGCAAAATTACATAAAATTTGAATAAAAATGCACATTTCAAAGATCTATGACACCACGTTAGTCATGCAGCAGTCGATATATTAAATCTGCTAGATTTACAATATAGTAGTTCATCAACTTCTCCTGAATTACGTTGAACTTAGTGGATGTTTAACTGACAGAAGAATAGAGTAGATGATATATTAACCTAAACAGGTGTGTATCTGTTGTCAGATTAAGTGTAAAATGATCATCAGTGCTGTATTCTAAGGTCTGGAACGAAAAATACATTTAATTGGAAACACTGACAAATTTTGGTCTTTGGCAAGCAATGCGCACATCTTTCTCTGGCTTAGCACAAGTTATTGCAGAGAAGCCGTTTTGAATTTCACAGATGATCACATGACACACTAAATGTTTTTTTTTTTTTAAACATGTTCTAATGAAAACAAAACATATACAATTATATATATATATATATCAAAAACGTTTCAATTACAATTATATAAATCAACAATTAATGAATATACATACACATACACATATTAATGTCTAAACAAAACAATAGTAAGGTGATACAAGACTCAAGTTAAATAGACAAGACATCCATATTAGCTTCCTGTAAAGGAATTCCGTATTTTGAAAAACTTTTCAGGTTTTCTCTTAACTTTATACAAACACTGAATGTTCTAATCACACCGGTGTGATAATAAACTCCAGGAACCAGCCTGGTATAATCATCCCAGTGTAGTCGCACACTTGAAAGGATTGAGAAAGGATTGAGAAAGACGATGCTGTTCTCAATATATTGGATCTGACAATAATGCTGCGCCACACAAATGTTTTTATGACATGGCCACAATTGATTTGCTATTAAAGATCGCTCAATATGTACTTACTATCTATGCATTTTTAACCTAAAAACACAGTAGCGTCCATGAGGGATGACAAGCTAGCATTTACATTGGCAGCACACAGCTGTCCTTTCTATCTTTTGAAAATATTTATATATGCAAAACTGAAAGCAAATCGCACAAACTGGCATTTACTTCAGAGTCTGCAAGGCCATGCCTGTGCAGACAGTGTGTTCTGATGTCGCAATGAGACAGTCACTTTTGATGTTTTTAAACCTTAAACAACAGAACAAATTAAACCAGAAATGCAATTAAATGACCCCTTTAAGGGTCAGTTTCACAGCGCATACATAATTATGGGGTGAAGAGATATCAATTTAAGATTAAGCAATTTGAGTCTTAACTATAATCTATTACAGTACACAAAACAATACTAGCATTTTCAGCATGATTAATACAATCTACAAAATATTTATTGAACCACATTCGAGTGCAAACTATTTGTTGAACAAATTATTTTTGCAAAGCCAGCACATGCATGCACATGTGGGTGTACTGTATTTACGAGCCTTAAAAAAAAGCCAAAATAAAGACGCTTGTTCTGAACGATGATGTCATAGGTCCATGCTGAGTCAGCAGCTTCGGCAATAAGCCTGCCATCGTCATGTGCCATTTCTACTGACGCCAGTCGACAAAAAAGCAATGAGGAAAGACGGCGCCGCGGGTCGTAACGCACACAATCAGCCATTCAAAGGAATAAACGAAAAAAGCTGCCAATTACGGCTGCTCTGTCTTTCCATGAGGGCAAAACGCTAATGAAAAACACATTGGACTCAATGTTATTTATTATTGTTGAAGGATCTCACGTCGCTCGTCTGGGAGCTATTTAGGCGTGGATAAATAACGTGTGTGTTTGTGTGCATGGAGTGTGCTTTATGATGTAATCTGTGCTGAACAGAGGGGGCAGATTAGAGAGGAACAGTGCGTGCTCTTCCCCGCTATAACCTTTAGATCTCCTGCTGCAGAAATCAGGTCACGTATTGTTAGAACGTGCAAGAATGAGCACATGATGTACATATGTTTACCTGTAAACGTTTGCTGTGAGAATGAGGTCATGATGAAAGCCAGGGCACGTCTGAATGTGCGCAGGAATGTGACGCTTCTTTAATAGGTGGGTGTGTTGGGTAGACCCGTTCACATTGGTTTAAATGGGGTCTTGAGAGAGTCTGCGATGGGGATGGGAATCTTAGGAAGCTGTTATTTTGCAAGCTATATACAGCACGTGAAACTAGTATTGAACACATCATGTTTGTCCGTGTGAATAATATTTCAAAAGGAGCTGCTGACATGGAATTGAAAAAAAATGCATTTAATACTTTATAAAAGGCTTTCTTAAATGATGACAGCTTAAAGACGCCTCTCATATGGAGAATAAAGTCACATGCATTGCTCAGTTTTTCACAGACTTCAACAGAGTGTAAATACCTTGATGGTCCTGTTGGTCTTCTCTGTCATTTTAATTTTTTGTATGTTCTATTGGATTTAAGTCAGGTGATTGGCTAGGCCAATCTACAGCTTGATTTTCTTTCTCTGAAAGCATTTAAGAGTTTTTTGGCTGTGTTTTGGATCATTGTCTTGCTGAAATGTGGTTTTATCTTCATCATCCTGATCTTGATGTAGATGTTGGACTGAAGCAGCTAATATCAATTTAGAATGATGAAAGGCAAAGGGTTGCTAAAAAATTACTAAGATATTTCAGCTGTGGTCTGGGCTTTCATTGCCTTTCTACACCTCCCTTTCTTCATGTGTTCAATACTTTTTTTCCCCGCGTTTCATTTTATTCACATAACTTCATTTGTAAACTAGTTAGTTTTGTTTTGTTTTCTTATATGGGTTTCTTTGGTTGTTACCAACATCCGTTGAATAGAACAAATCTAAAGAGGACTAATTCAAAATATAAAAGCAAAATGACAGTAATGATGCATTTAATGGTAATTCACAAAAACTGCCTTCTTTCATCTGAGAAATATCGCTAAATTACGAAATATGCTATCCATCTCAGATGCAGAAAAACTAGTCCATGCTTTTATGACTTCGAGACTGGATTACTGTAATGCTCTATTTGCTGGCTGCCCAGCATCCTCTATTAACAAACTTCAATTAGTACAAAATGCAGCAGCCAGAGTTCTGACCAGGTCTAGAAAATATGATCATATAACCCCAATTTTATCCTCCTTACACTGGCTGCCTGTTAAATTTCGTATTGAATTTAAAATATTACTTCTCACCTATAAAGCTCTAAATAATCTAGCTCCTGTTTATCTAACCAACCTTCTGTCTCGCTACGAACCAACTCGCTCCTTAAGATCTCAAAATTCAGGGCTTCTGGTAGTACCTAGAATAGCAAAATCAAGTAAAGGAGGTCGAGCCTTCTCTTTCATGGCTCCTACACTCTGGAATAGCCTTCCTGGTAATGTCCGAGGCTCAGACACACTCTCCCAGTTCAAAACTAGATTAAAGACCTATCTGTTTAGTAAAGCATACACTCAATGCATCACCTAGCGGGTTCCACACTGGCTTCTGCATCTTGCTTATATACACTATGAACAGCAGCTACGCTAATTATTCTCTTTATTCTCTATTTTCACCTGGGGATACTCATCCCGAGGTCCTCAGATTAGGCGGAGTCACTGATTGGATCCAAGACCAGCGACGTGATGATCCCAAGGATTCCATATCCGGGACCAGGCCATATCCTGAGCTGCTGCTGCGCTGATGGTCGTGGGGAGTGGAGAACATGTGTCTGATTCCAGCGACGCTCCAGGGACAGACGAGTCTTCATTGAGGCCATCTTCCAGCATAAACCACGGCGAATGAAGTTCTGCACAAGACTTTTGGCCAGCGGAGAAATTAAAATGGTCGTGCCCAACTGTCTGGTTCTCTCAAGGTTTTTTTTTTCTTCACTCCCATCAGGTGAAGTTTTTTTTCCCTCTCCGCTGTCGCCACTGCCTCGCATGGTTCAGGATTGGTAGAGCTACGCATCGATGAATTTGCTCTTCAGTGTTTGAACTCTCAGTAATGATTAAATCACACTGAACTGAGCTAAACTGAACTGAACTGAACTTAAACACTAAAACCTGAACCACACTGTTCCAGTTACTGAACCACACTGTTCCAGTTACTATGACCATTTATGTGAAGCTGCTTTGACACAATCTACATTGTAAAAGCGCTATACAAATAAAGCTGAATTGAATTGAATTAATTAGCATCTTAAATCCTCAATTATCAATATAAAAAAACATATGCACATAAAAATATATTATATATAGTAACTGCTTTATAAATTTCAATAAAAATTTTGTATATATGTTTTGAATACGTCTCTATTTATGTAAAATTTATGTACTAAAAACAGAAATATTGAAATACAGAAACAAATTTTAAAATTGTGAATATTGTGTGGAATTAAAACATTAGAATTTTTTTTAGAAAAAGAACATTTCTATTTGAATATAGGTTAAAATATAATGTTTAATTTTGTTGTGATTTTGCACTCAAACATGTTTTGGAGTTTTTTTTTTTTAATTTTATTTGTTTTTTTATGCATTTGTTTAGATACTGTAGCTGTTCTAACCAAAATCAGATAATATACACACAAAAAAGTTTCCTCTCCTAAAGTCATTCATTTTAGATCTTAATTTGAAATTATTTGGTTATTAAATAATAAATAATGTAAGCTCTCTGAGAGATTTTGTATGGTTATGAATATGTATTTAAAGCAATGATGATGTGTTTGGTCTTGGAGGCGTAGATATGTTACGCTGCTGCTGCTGCTTTGATTAATGGTGAAGCAAGTACCAACAATCGCTACTGCAAGTACATTCTGTCACAAAGAATGTAACACTGCTGCTACAAACACCTATACACAGGTGGAGCAGGGGGGAGGTGGGTCTCTCAGATAACACACTGCACATTGTCAACACAAACAACACTTCGATTTAAGAACAAACTCATTGTCTGCTGAGGCGACAGTAACCAATCATCACCATGTAGTTGGTGAAGTAGTAGGAGCAGATTAGATCAGCCTGAGCGCCTCAATACAGTTTCATGAGAAAACTCTGTATATTTAAAACCGTTTCATGTATTCAAAAACAAACTCAATGAAAGCATAACACATTTTTATTTTTATTCAGACTCTAAAATGAAACATTTTATCTTTGACCTATATTGAATTTGATGCATTTATGATCAATTAAATGGTAACACTTTGCATTGTATTAGTTAATGTTAGTTTATGTATTTACTAACATGAACGAGCAATGAACAACAGATGTATTACCATATTTATTCATATTCTTTAAGGGCAACCCCTAAGAATAAGCTGAAGGAAAGTGAGTGAGTTAATGTAAGCTAATGGAAGTTGACTTTTAGTCACGGTGCATTAACTAATGTTAACAACATGAATTTGTATTTTAATAATGCGTTACTATCCCACCACTCACACAATTATAACTTGAATTGTAAATGCAAGTACCCTTAGTAAAGCCAACTTAAACTTAAATAATAGGCAAACAAATAAGTGCTTTCTACTAGCAAACTTAAATGCAAAATCAACTTTTACCATAACCAAGTAAATGATTCCTTCCTACTAGCAAAAATTTTTCCAGGCAAACAAACACACACTTAAATATAATATAACGCTCAAGAGTTCACATCTTCAATACACGCTGGATCTCTTCAACTGAGCCAACAGAGAACAGCACATAAACTTTATTACGCGGCTGTCTGGAATATTTAATTCTGATTGGGCAGTCGGAACATTCCAAAGGTATGTTATTTCGGGATAACAATTGCTAAATAACACAGACTCCGAATCCATGAATTTCGAATCACATTGACCATCAGTGAATAAGTTAACGTCCATATACATCCATGTTCATGCTTGTGTATCGCACTACAGTTTTTGACTGTTTAATCATATAAAGGTTGGTATACTATATTCAGTCAGTTTTGTTTCCACTAGCTTTGCATTATTGCATGCTTGGTGCCATCTTGTGGCTGAATAATGCACAAGTTAGGGTATGCTCCATCAGCTGTTTTTGTTTCTGTAAGATTTGTGTTTTACTAATCAACTATTTTGACTCAGAGCAATGTTTTTTGTCTTAATTTGTATGCTTTGTGGCAAGTAAGTACATCCAAGATATAAATACAGCCTTTCACTCATGTACTGTGTTTTGCTTCACGCCAGCCTGCCGATAAGACTTTATTTTGGGATAACAACCTTCTGAATGTACTTTATCCCCACCTTCACTAATGAAACCTTATTGTAAAGTGTAACCATTTAAACATGTTGCAGAAATCATTGAGCAGTTCTCTCCCACAGTAACACTGAGTCTGCTGTTCATTCATACATAATCCATCCAAGAATCACCCACTCTGATCACTAAAACATCAGCAGGACGAAATCCTTCCACCCCACAAACCACACTGTGCATGTGCGAGCAGCCCAACACTAGAGCACTTCTAAAGCCGCAAAAACAACCTTCAAGACGTCTATAACCATTAAATATTTGGCAACTTTTTGAGCTCCCAGGCAATAGTAGGAAATCCAGAAATAGGTAAGGTCTGCACCTGGATGGTCTGAGTTGGTTCAGGTAAAGATTTGGCATCTGCTTGTGGTTTAAAACAGAATCTTACCTTGAGCTGCACAGCCACAGTGATTGGTCCACAGCGCTCTAGTCTCTGGAGGAACGACGACGCACCCTTCTTCTTCAGCAGCTGCACACACAAACAAAACACTTTGTAGATCTAGTTTGTAAAATGATTCTTTATGACATCCAGCAATACATATTGTAACAAATTATGAGTTTCACACAATTCCTTCCTTCATTCCTTCCCCAACACAAATCGATTAAGTTATGTAATAGTTTTTTTTTTTTTTTTCACAAATCACAAAAGTGAATTGAACATAAAACAATTAAGTTGTCCCCCCCAAAAAAAAAAAAAAAAAAAAAAACTGAACTGAAGGATTGTGTTGCTTCCACTGAGTTTGAACAAGCAGCACAAGTAATGATGTAAAATTAGTAGAATAAGTCTTCACTGACAAAAAAATATGTCAGGGATTCAAAATTTGTAATGTACGCAACACTCTACAACTGCTGTTAAAGATTTTAATTAATTAAAGAAATTAATTACACATTGATTTTAGATCAATATGATAGGGCGACACCGTGACTCAGCGGTTAGCACGGTCATCTCACAGCAAGAAGGTCATTGGTTTGAGTCCTGGTTGGACAAGTTGGCATTTCTGTGTGGAGTTGGAATGTTCGGTTCACGTGGGTTTCCACTGGGTGCTCCGGCTTCCACCACAGTCTAAAGATGTGTGGTATGGGTGAATAGAATAAACTAAATTGGGTCCCACTTTATATTAAGTGGCCTTAACTAATATGTACTTACACAGGAATTAATAGTTTGTTACAATGTACTAATTGTGTAAATACATGTATTGTGTGTACTTATGCTTGATTAAATACATGTATGTAATTACATCTGTAGTTAACTTTTGTAATTACATTTGTAAATACACTGTTGACCATCCCTTACACCTTAACCCACCCTTAAACCTACCCATGCCACCAAACCTGTCCATAACCCAACCTCTATCCCAACTCAAAAGCACCACAAGTGTTCTCAAATACATCATAAACACAGTAAGTACATTGTATTAATTTTTTGATGTAAGTACATAGTAGTTAAGGACACTTAATATAAAGTGGGACCCTAAATTGGCCGTAGTTTATGTGTGTGAATAAGTGTGTAGGAGTGTTTCCCAGTGCTGGGTTGCAGCTGGAAGGGCATCCGTTTTGTAAAACATATGCTGGATAAGTTGGTGGTTCATTCCGCTGTGGCGACCCCTGATAAATAAATAGACAAATCCAAGAGAAAATGAATGAATGATACAAAAAAAATTAAATCGCAGTCATTTACAAGATAAGTTAAACAAACAAATGAAACTCATTCTGAATTGAATACCAAAATGATTATGCTTGCTAAAATGTGTCATTTATATTGCAATACTAACTAAATTTTTTTAATAAGTAATTTGTAATGGGTAATGGACTACATTTTCTAAAGAAATAGTTCACCCAAGAATGAAATAAAAATTATTTATTTATTCACCAACATTTTTAGGTTTCTTTTTTTATTAATGTAATGTAATGTGTATTTATATAGCACATTTATTGTGTTTGGCCATATACCCAAAGCGCTTCACAATCATGAGGGGGGGGGGTCTCTCCACACCATCACCAGTGTGCAGCATCCACTTGGATGATGCGACGGCTGCCACAGGACAACGGCGCCAGTGCGCTCACCACACACCAGCTATTGGTGAAGTGGAGAGACAGTTATAGAGCCAATTCGGTGGAAGGGGATGATTGGGAGGCCATGATCGTAAGGGCCGATAGAGGGACTTTGGCCAGGACACCGGGGTTACACCCCTGCTCTTTCACGAGAAGTGCCATGGGATTTTTAATGACCACAGATAGTCAGGACCTCGGTTTAACGTCTCATCCGAAAGACGGCGCCCACTGACAGTGTAGTGTCCCCTTCACTTTTACTGGGGCATTAGGACTCACACAGACCACAGGTTGAGCGCCCCCTGCTGGCCTCACTAACACCACGTCCAACAGCAACCTAGTGTTCCCTAGTGGTCTCCCATCCAGGTACTGGCCAGGCTCAGCCCTGCTTAGCTAAAAATAGATCACTTTCCCAAACATGTTCTGAACAAATGTTATAGTTAATGGCTATCAGCTTTTTAACATTTTTTTACAACGTCTGCTTTTGTTAAAAAAAATAAATTAATTAAAATACAGGGTATGTGCAGGAAGCCTAAAGATAATCTCAATACCTTTTTAAGACTTTTTAAAGACCCTCTCAAAATATTTTAAGACCTCATCACCACTTTAAGTTCTAATCAGTATCAAACCTTGTTAAGAAATAGTTGTACTTAAATAAATCAATGGAGCACAACCATGCAACTCAGATGAGCTTGGAAGAAACAAAGCTTGAAAGAATAAATTATGAGGTTGTTTTCATCGATATGCTTCAGCCACTGTTCAAACTCATCCTTCTCCAACCAGGAGTACACAAACTTACATTTTCCCTGTTTCGCTCTATGTTTTTGCTACATGTGGAGAGCATCACATCACCTTCCTGCGTTTGTTGCAAATTACGTATGTGACATCACCCGGACGCGAAGCTTGACTGGCCCAGGCTCGAACCAATCGTGTGGTTCGAGCACGCCGTTGCTAGTATTAGGAGGAAAATAAATATATTTATGCTTTTAATATATTTATGAAATATTTTGGACAACGCTTGAACAAAGTTTAAGACCTCGTAAAACACGATTAAGACTTGTTAATATCTTTTAAGGGTCTTAATTTTCTCATAAGTGATTGATCAACTTTTATATTATATATTATATATATATTTAATATATATTATATATATATATATATATATATATATATATATATATATATATATATATATTTAATATATATATATATAATATCCCTCAACATAATCTACTCAGCACTACAGATTACTTTCATTGTTTTGTATTCAGCAGTTGTGGCTATACTGTATATCTCACGTGTGCAGAGTTACTGAACTTTGTCCTGCGCGCTTGCGGTATTTTAGTTACTTCTTTGGTTTGGTGCCTTAATCTGATCGTTACTATTATTCAAAAGAAGGTAATGATTCGCACTCAATTACTTTGTACTGTTTTTATTTTTACTGTTTCTTACATTACACTGAGGAAGGCTTTGTGCCGAAACGTCTGTTTGTCTGTTATCACCCGTAAAATATAAGAAAAAGGGAAAATAAAAACAGTTCGAAGTAATTGAGTGCGAATCATTACCTTCTTTTGAATATACTTTATATCTAAAAAAAAAATGCCATCACCTACATCTTGGATGGCCTCATAGTGAGCTTAAACTACAGCTTTAAACTTGCTTATGTTATCTTAAAATGAAATGTCACTTGCTTTGATATTTTGCTAATGCAATGACATTCCTGCATTTTTAAGAATGACGCTGGTGCGTTTTACCAGGAGAGAGGAGACACTGTTCATCTCCATGCCCTTTAAAGATGATGTTGGCATGGCAACAGAGTTTTAGGAGAGCTATGAATGAATCATGCAAGTGCAAACAAACAAACACGCACTAGAATACACACATTTCTCTGTATCTCACCCAGAAGGGAAACACTGCCAGCAATATTTCTGTTACTACCAGACACTGCAGGCAAAAGCAGGCAAAATCTTTCTATCTAAAAAAAAAATATATAAACTGTAAAAACAATCAATAAAAACATCACATTTTAAGTGACTTGTGGAGAATTTGTTTGTTTTTTTTCTTTGTTCACTATTCACATCCGGTGTTTTGCCTTCAAATCTGACAGTGTCTATATATTTCTGTTGTCATGCTAAAAAAAAAAAAAAAAAAAAAAACAGCATGGGTCATCATGATAACACTGATCAGTACACTCTGTTCTTGAATCTCTGCTTACAGCCATGTCATGCTGAATTGAGTTTGAATGGTCTAATGGATCTAGGTCACCAATACAATAGCAGCAAACTGAATATGAACTAAAGGTGCCTCAGGAACTGGATATAGTTCTGCTTTATCATCATCATCATCATGGCCTTTAACCCTGGAGGGGGTCTGTTGTTCTGGGAAATAATGCACTAAATCACTATATACGGCAATTGTGGTTATAATGATAGTTCACTTATGATTGTGTGTCTGATTTTGCCTGTAGTGCATTTGGACATCTGCCTCATGTAATAAAGTGATTGAATATTTATGCAGAATTAGGGCGATCTATTGATCAGTAATTTCATCAGTGTTGAAAATAGAAGAAAAAAAAAAACTTGAAATGTACATTTATAACAACTTTTAAATCCAACAAAAAAACAAGAAAATAAATACTTAAGATCTTAAACATTATTCTCTTTATATGTAGAAATATTTGTTGCTATACTGCTGTAAAAATTGCTATTTTATTACGTGATAAAAAAAAAAAAAAATCAACAAAATATAAAGGTTTAGGCTAAGACATTTTTGTTGTTGTTTAGAAAGAATAAAGCACAAAATACATTACGATTATTGGACGGAAGGTGTGCTACAAGCAATCTAAAAAAATAAATAAATAAATAATAACAAAAAAAAATAGTAATAATACACACACACACACACACACCCTAACCTGCCTAGTTAACCTAATTAACCTAGTTAAGCCTTTAAATGTCACTTTAAGCTGTATAGAAGTGTCTTGAAGAATATCTAGTCAAATATTATTTACTGTCATCATGGCAAAGATAAAATAAATCAGTTATCAGAAATGAGTTATTAAAACTATTATGTTTAGAAATGTGTTGAAAAAATCTTCTCCCCGTCAAACAGAAATTGTGAGAAAAAAATAAACAAGCAGTCTATTAATTCAGGGGGGCTAATAATTCTGACTTCAACTGTATATATATATATATATATATATATATATATATATATATATATATATATATATAGTTTTGCTCATTCATCAATGGAACAGATTCAATCTGGAGATTTAAAAGTCAATATCAGTATAATGATAAAAATCAAGAAATCAATACTAATCCACCCAACCCTATCATCCGCTTAACTGTTGTACTTTATCAACGTTGTGTGCGCAAAATAGTTACTAAACAGTCAGAAATGCACCACTGGAGAAAT